AAAAAAAAAACGTTTCAAGATCCTGTATGAAAATTAATTGTACAGATTTGTTGCACTTCTGTGAGGTTTTTCATTCATCCCAATACCAAGGGAAACTAAACTCAGAATAGGCTTTAATCCACAATTTACATACAATAGATTCCTTTTAGAAACTAAAGCTCATTACAGAAATGATAGTTTCCCATGTGTATGAATTACTGAGAATTATAATGTCAACAAAAAGGAATGAAGCCAGGCTGCACACAAACATCTACACTTCCTAGGTGATTCTCAACACTTTTTTCTAAACATTTTCCACCAGATAAAGTTCATTACCTAGTTCTAACCATTTCCCATTTCACAAAGTCAAGTTTTTACTGAGCCTGTAAATAAGAAATCAATTGATTATACACAAGCATTAGCAGAACCTAAGAGAAAAGGGACTTTGCGCATGGCTGCTTCTGCTGCGTAGTTGTCTTGAACGCCTTATCAAATGCCGCTAATTTCTAGTCTGCATACAAATGTATTGATGTGCCAGAATTAAAACAAATTAGAATGTTTAGAGTAAAAGACTGTTCGCCATGTTTCAAATTGTTCATATTTATTTACAGGCCTCAGTAGGACATCTTAATCTTATACTGTTATTGTTTCAAATAGAAAAAGACATTTTTAATGTTATTTGGAGAAAATCCCTTAGTTTACAGAATGAAAAAAAAAACCAGAACTGCTGATATTTTGACAAGAGCTTTGAATGAAAAATAACAAAACCTCTGCAGGGAATTTCCCATTAATCTAATTTATTTGGGAGCACATTTTCACAATAATAATTAAATTATTTAATGTTCGCTTACATTAAAAAGCGATCATCTGTAACAGTTCATTACTAGAAAAAAGGGGAGAAAAAAAGGCCAGTATTTTAAACTAACACCACAGGAAAAAAACAACAACTTACAAACATCAAAGGAGTGCCATGATGTTTGACAGCTTCCTATAAATTCAGCTATTTCATCTCTTAGTGAAGTTGGCAACAGAAATTCCAGCATTTTCTGTGCAGTGGTGTCTTTAAAGCTGTAACATGTTTTTTTATTAGACCTCTATTCATCCATTTTTCAGGGTGTTTCAATAACCAAAATATCCAATAATTAAAGTCTTGTGACATAGGAATCCATGTTTAGTACAGACACTGAAAAAAACAACAACATTTTCCTATGGAATGGAACATTACATTCAGCTAGAGTTCATCCATGCCTTGCAAGTCTTCAGTGGGTGGAGTATACCACGTATAACCAACTGAGATACCATTGAGCAAAATGCGTTTTTATCTGCTTTATTTCTCCTAGAAATGTCAGCACAGCACATTATATTGCCTGTAATTTTAATAGATAAATGAGACAATGATTCCATTGTTATTTTTTTCTCAAAATGGTAGAATACATTTTCTTAAAAAGGTCTGCAAACATATTTACAAAAGTGTGAAAGCAATAAATGCAGGCTTTTTATATTTTTACTGAACTTCCAAAGACTGACTGATACCCTAATTTTATTAGAAATCTGGTCCAAGGATGATACAAGAAATAAAATATCACACTCAGTTTTGCTTTCTTGTAGGCTACCATGGAAAACAAATCAAACAGATAAATATTTTAAAAAGAACAAACTTATATTCCATGAAGCATAATGAAGATGTTCCAAAACCGTTTCCTGTATTTTTATTTTGTTTCAGCTTTAAAGTATCTCTTGGTCTTTCTTAATGTTAAAACCTGGGACACCATTTTACTTTTGGAAAGCCAGCTGCTGTAATGTAATTATGAAGTAGCCACTAAAATATCATTCACGGTATCTGCATCACAGGAATGGACTCGTTGTTTTCAAACAAGACTGATAAAATTTGCGTTGTTGCCTTCATCTTTCACATTTTAAATACTGTTGGCTGACAGAAATAAAGTAGTGTCATGCTTGGTTTACCTAAATCATTTATTTTTTAACTAATAAAAGTAAACAATTACCAGATACTGTATATATAGAGATATATAGATATATGGCCACAAATAAACTATAGTAGAAAGTTATTTTGGTTTTGATAAAGTTAAGAAAAGCACATAAAATCATATTTCATGAATATCTTGTTTTATGGCCATCAATATTTTTGTATTTTTTTGTTTTGTTTCATCAACATAGCAAAATACAATCTTCCTATTAAACAATAATTATCAGATGGCAGACAATTCTTTTTATTGGTTTACATTGGCAGGTCACAGTCTAAAAGCACAACCACATCAGGCAGAAATTGCACACAGACCGCCCTGGATTTTGAAGACTATTTTTTATGCTCCTACCAAAAGAGCTTAATTTAAAACTGGGGACTGTAACAAGCACTAATTAAATACATGGATTTCTTTTTCTCTTTTTTTTTTTTTTTTTTTATAGCTAAATAAAATGACTGAAATTGCAGTACTTTATTTTGCTTTCAGCTTCAGTTTTAATGTTTGTGCTTGATGTTAGCAAGCACGTTTTGAATTTCCTAGCAATCGTTTATGAAAGTTCAATCATCCAAATAAAAACCAGGTGATTTTTTTACCATCATAGAATACTGCAGATTTATTTCAATTAGGCCTCTTCCTTGGTGCTTTTTTGGTGTTGATATTTGCATTTTTAACTTATTCCTGAAAACTTGGGGAGATTTGCATGTAATACTATGACATCATACAGTCCCAATGTCAGTATTTCTGTAAGACATGGTTGTAGGTGGGACTGGCCCATAAATATGCATTTGTATTAGTTGTAGAAGGCATGCTCATGTCTTCAAAAACCAGACTGGTCTTAAGATATTACTCTTTATTTGAGACAGTTACCATTACTTCATTAAAAAATGACAAAACAGCAATAAACATTTTAGCTCTTTAATGAGCAAAGATCAGGTCTCTTAGCATTGGAATAATATTCGTTATCCAGATTATCTTTATTTCACTCAGTGACCAGTAATATGGCCAAGAAATACAAAGTAATTTTCCATCAAGTAGTATACAATTTTTGTGTGTAATAAGCTTTCATTCTTGAAAAAGAGTAACTGAAAAGAAATGTTTCTGTTACTGCAGTTAGTTTGTCAGAGAAAGTTCTTCGCATTATCTTACAAACTATCAAAATTGCTAGTAATTTGAAAAAATGTAAAAAAAAATCACATAACTTTAGTCTAATAGAAATATAGTACAGGTAAGAGAGAAAGTATTTATCAGGGATGTGCTCTTAAGTCCATCTCAATTATTTCTTTTATATAAATGTACATCTGATTACATATACAAACATTTTGAAAGGACCGTGGTATATAATTACAGGAAAGCAACAGGGGAATGAAAAATTTCTTGTGATTTTAGAACATTCATTTCAAATCACACAAACATATGTAGTATTCAGATTTTAAATTTTCCAGTTGTTGGCTCTCTCCCCATTCTCACGTACTCTCTTTTTCTACACTGTTGCCATCTGGTCTAGAGAATTCATTTGAATGGCAAAGCTAATGTATAGCAAAAAGGGAATTAACTTTATATTAAAGTATTATAAGTAAACTTTGTAACATGCAACATGAGTTTAAACAATAAACTGAAAGGTGTAATCCGAGCAGTAATATTGGGGCATTTTTATATCGCAAAATATCATTGCAATTAAATTTTTGGACACACTTTACCTTACCAATTTGAACTAAATATATTGTAACTAAATCACAGAAAATTATAAATCCTTCATCAAAGGAGATTCCATTAAAGTTATAGTTATGTTAAAGTTAGAAATTATTTAGGTAGAAAGGAAAAAGAACATTAATAATACAGATTTTTTGTCTGGGATTTGTATCAGCGAGGGTCCACCGCTGTGTAACTAGAATGCCATAAATACCTTTAAGAACTGTTGCAATTCCTTCTATTTCTGAAGCTACCATGAAATATTTTACTGTAATTACTTTTGCCCCTTTAAAATACTTCTTTAGGTTATGCCAATTGATGGAGAAAGCTTCTATTAAAAACTCCAATGGGATGAGAAGAATTTTAATTACGGCTTAATCAGCAGCACAGCCACCAAGCATATAAATTATCATGCACATCGTGCTAAAAATATCCAGTTTCCTTTATTCCCACAACTTTTATACTGACAGCACTTATGTGATAATGTTGTACCTGCCAGGCTGTAAAACTTCTTTGACTGGCAGATTTCAGCATGAGCCCCTTTCTAAGGCCTTAACAGCATTGGTGCTTTGTGTACTTATTCAAATATGTAAATATGGTCTACACAAGAAAACAGGTCCAAATAAAAATTGGTGAAAATTATCTGACATTCCATTAGTGTGTCCCTTGTGCATATTTATAGGTTTTTTAAATTTTCAGTCATAGTTCTTTCCTGTTTGTGTTGCACATGCCTAATTCCATTATGTAACTTAAATCTTCAAAAAATTAATACTTGAATGTGAATGAAAAAGTATCATTCAGGACAACTGCTTCAAGCAATTGCAAACAGTTGGGTTCTTTTGTTTTGTTTTGTTTTTTTCTTGTGTTTGTTTTGTTTGTTTGTTTGTTTCTTAAGTTCATTTGATATATGTACAATTCATTTTTTTTTCAAAACCCCAAAAGTTCTTGATATGTATATTCACATAATATTCCTCCATATTTAAATAGTAAGAGTCTTGTAGGTTGAAAGCCAAGTAATCTTCAGTAATATCACCTACTGTAATCCATCAAAAAATAAAGTTTGTTTCATCTTGTCTGGCTATACCCTGGTTGTTGAATGTGAATGGGGGTGGGGATGAGGATGGGGCAGAGTATTGTTCTGTCCTCCGGTAAATGTATTGAATGTGTGTAAGGGTTGAATCCCTGGTATAGTGTTGGGGATCATTGTGATGGTGTTGGGTGTCATTAAGGGAATATCATCAGGAGACCTTCTCATAGCTAGCGTGTAGTCTGGGGGACAGGCGGTCCTAAGAACCACCTCATGTGGATGGATGGACTCACATTCATGATCCAAGTCAGTGTGCTTCATCTGGAGGGACATTATCTCCTCTTCTTGTGCATGGGTAAGATCATTGGTAGTAGTACGTTGTGGGCTACATCTCCTGTGAACATCATGTCTCCGCTTGTCTTTTTTGTAGTACAATGCTGCAAAGGCCAAAATGTTCAGGAACAGCAAAGATGCACCAACTGCAATAGTAACGCTCAATTCTGTCGAATAGTCCCTTTGATCCACTGAAAATGGGCTTGGCTGTTGTTTGGGATCATCTTGTTTGGCTGTAGGAAAGGCTGAAGTAACAGAAACAGAATTTTTCCTTGTTGGTCTGAAAGTATTATCAGTTGACGGCACTTTAGTTGTGGTAGAGGTATACTGTGAAATGTCGTTAAGATTGTGCAGATGAGGTACCAGTTCCAACCAAAGGTTCACTTTATTGGCCCTATAATGTTCTTTAACTCGTGGTTTTAATCCAATGTGAAGATACAGTTGGTCTTTTTGAGAATATCTGGTCCATGCTACTTCTTCAAAACGATTTGGTTTTGTATGGATGAATTTTGTATCTTGTGGCACTGGTTGATTTGGGTCACTAAAAAAAAATAAATCTCCAATGTTACAAAGTATTTCAAAAGGAATTATAAAATTAACATAATTATATTTAATGCTTAAATCTGCCTTTGGACAGAGAAAATGCTATTTCCTAAAATTAGAGGCCTTAATAATCTTGATTAGAAACAGCATTATGCAAATGAACCCTTCTTTTACATAGACTTCAGTGACTTCCCTAGTTCCCAAAATGCTAGTATCTCTCACACTGAAATCTTTTGTTGCTGAGGACAGATTGCCAGCAATGTGGTAACATAGACAAATGTCTATGAGAGACCGGTACAAGAGAACATTAAGCTTTGCTTTTCTTTTTTAGTAACATAAAGCTCATAAGGCTCAGCATTTCAGTTCATACGCAGTATTTGTGGCCTTCCAGAGGTGAAAGAGCATGGGCATAACTCAGTACAACACGTAGTGACTTAGAGTCCAATGGCTGAGGGTAGAAAAGTGTTTTGAACAACTAGTGAAAGAAGAATTAATGAATATGACAAAACTTTTCCTTTTCAAGTTTAAAGTCACATACCTGATGGTCAGAAGTATCAATTTAAAACAAAATAAATTATTAAAATAAGCTATATTATATTTGATGCAATATTTATGTAATTTTCTGTCTCATGGGATAAAAATATTATCAGTGCTGGGGTAAAGTCAGTTACTAATCTAACCATTTTTAACTATACATGTATATTAAATGCTCAGCTTTGCACTTTTCTGGAGACCCCTTAATTGGTTTTGTGTACAAAGTATTTTTAGAATTTCCTCATGCAGAATGTTCACAAAAGTATTTTTTCCCTCTTTTTACTAGAATGTGTAAGTGAGCCAAGGAACATTTCAACAAACATAAATATGCAACCTAATTCTTAATCTCTTATTCATCCTACAAGCGCAGAGGCATTCCCAAGGGAGATAACCAAGGGAAAGCACTGCGTCATTATATCCTGAGTTTGCATACAAGGCTATTCATTATCTGGTACTCACCCAGTTTTTGCAAAGTTTGTCCAGTACGTCATCACCACCGCACTTAGCATGACATCATTTTTGGAGAAATTACAAGGAAATAATTCAGTAGGACCAATCATGGGGATTCCTAGTACGTAAGGAACCTCATCTCCATGGGCTGCATCTGCCCATGCAGGTACCTGATCTGTCTGGCAATGATGGTAGAAGGCATAGAAATATGTAGGCGATCCAAAATTTGAGTGAAGATCTGCTGTAGCCACTGCTGGTGCAACCCACTGGTGATCAGTAAACAAAGCCAGCAGTGTTTTCCTTCTGGTCTCAGGATTGTGTCGATCTGCCCAGTCTGTGTACATAAATTTAATAGTTTCCCTCAATATATCTTTGCCTTCAGGGTATCCGTATAAGTTATCGACAAAATTAGAAACTGCAAAGTCAAAATCACTAGCTGATATGCCATCCTCGCTATCCACAATATTTTCAACAAATTTTAACCCTTCCCCTTGGTTAACTCCCAACATGATGTCATAATTGAGGAATTCTCCTTGTTCCATCAATATCTGAGGATCATCTGGTATCACATCACCATCAATTACTGGTCCAAAGGCTATATGGTATCTTGCTGGTTGAATGTCCTGGTCGACAAGTTCTCTATAAGGCTTCTTCTGTAGACATTCTACCAATTCTACAGTGTCTGACATGTTGCAACCAACTTTCGTAGCCAACATCCTGGCATATTTTGCAGGCTGAAAACTAACTGCCCAGCTGGAGAGAGCCGTTCCGCTTTGAGCTATTGCTCTTTGAAAAAGTCCTGTGGGGAGAAATATTTAAAAACTACTGAAGTGACCTTGAAACAGCTACATACTTGAAAGATTCAAAGGAGTTCTTTGAAACAATAGAAAACTTTAACAGAAGAGGTACTTGAATCTTAATAGTACTGAAATACACAAGATGGTGAGATCTGACTGTCCTTGTACCTACAGGTAATGTATACAAAATAAATGCAATATGCGCAGAAATTGAAGCAAATTATTCTACCTCAATGTAGTCCAGCTGAGGAACAGATTTTCAAAAGAAACTCAGGATGAAAAAGAAGTCGCATTACCTTATATAGGATAACTATTAGCTTGAAAGAAATCCCTAAAGTTAAAGCAATTTATAGGTTGGGGGAAAAGCCAACAAGTCATTGAAGTAGATTGAATTTCTAGATATTGTTCAAGCCACCAGCAGCATGTGTGCATACAAGTATTTGTTAAACAAAGCTAATATACTGCTTTTTTATGTTTTGTTTGGGATTAAATTTGGTTTGAGTGGTGCAATGCTTTTGAATTGCATATCATAGCAAAAGTTTATATTCTGGAGTAATAGATGAGGAGGTACTAGGCAGCTATTAAATTTATAAGTGTCTAAGAGTCAAGATCCTTTCTTTAAAGGAGTTTTTTTAATGAAGGTTTATAGTGATCACACTTACATAAAAAGGGAAATGATACATTTTAGCTTTGTAATTCAGAGATTTAAACATATGTTCAGGTATTCATTGAGGGGAGAGAGTATGATCTGGTGCTGCATATAAACTTGTAGCAAATCCCAAAGACTTCAGTGCAATTAATTTGAATTTATGCTGATTTAACTAGCAGTCTGGACCAGGAATTCCACTCATAGAAATAAGAAGATATGTTTAAATTGATGTTTTCCTCTGCCTTCTGTAAACAATTTTGAGTATAACATGGATGAAAGCCTCACCCCCTTGTAGTCAATGAATGAATCCATTTTTTTTGCTATTGATTTTGTTGCGATCAAAACTCCACCCTTGTTCTGATACTTCTTATGCTCCCTTTGTGCTGGGGCCTTTTCCAGCTCACTTTGGGGAGAGTAGTTCAGGTCCTGAAACAGATTTTGAGTCTGAACCTTGTGCAAAATAATGCTCATCTCTAATATCAGAAACTTAGACTATATTTAGGTAACTGTCACCTTTCCATTTTTTTTGCATTTTCATGGAAGTGCCTCCAGTTCATTTCAGTAGCACATCTTTTGTACTAATTACTGGAAAATATTTTATACTGGACCCTACCTCCTATAGCTTAATGTGGGTAATACAAAATGATCTATAGCATACGTAAATTACGCTGATTTAAGATATATGGGTCAAAATTCGGTTTTACATATGCTGATAGGCAGCTGGAGTAATTCCACTGACTTTGGTAGAGTTGCTTAGGGACTGGAAGTGACATCTGGCCTCACTCACTTAATTTTGCTAAGAATGTGTCTTTGGTTCAATGCTTGATGAATAGCTGGATACTCCCACTAAAGGAACTGGAGCTAAAGTGCTTAGCTTACCTCAGAATTTTATTCCAATAATGCAAAAGATGGCTTTTACTTTGATAAGTAACATATTTCTATTGACAAAAAACTTCCATAGCCTCTAAATCAAGTCAAAGACATGCCTTTACAGCCTCTATTGCAGTATCAGACCCTGTACACTTCAGAAGTTAGTTGGAATTAGTTGCTGGCAGGAAACAATTTACAAGCTTCTGAGGAATTTTAAAATAATTTTAGATTGTATTAGGTCCAAGTCCAAAAGTCTTAAAATCAGATAGGTGTAGGGACTGAAATGTGTAAACTCAAGCCTCTCCTTAAATTTATGAGAAGTCATATCCAAGGTACCATTTCCTTGTAAGATACGAGTAAAAAATATGAAAGAATTTGAGCTATAAAGCAGGTAAAAATACATTTGCATGTTTACAAGGTCAGATATCGAGCTAGTATAAATCAGCTCAAAGTCAGTGGAATTACTGCAGAGGATCCAGGCATTGTAATAAATGCAACTAAATGACAAAACTGAATTTTCACAAAGATGTATTTCATGATACTTCATAATGTTTCTTTTTTGCATATTGTGTAAATCTATTTTTATTGCTTTATTAAATATCTCTAAACAAGGACAGAAAGTGTAAGCTACATATTAAGAAAATGCTGATATAAACACTATGGCTTGCTAAGTGCTACATAAACATTAAATATTGGATTAAGTAAAAGTGGTCAAGTCCTCTGGCCATAAAGTTATCTTAGGAAATTAAACTAAACATCCCTCCTTCTGCTGAAGAGTGCTTACGGAAATATTCCTTCTCTCAAACCATTTGGTGAAAAATGAACAACAATATGAAAAATTGTTTTCATTCTGTCACGTAATTCCTAGCAGAAGTTGGTACCACACAGGATGGAGAGTACATTTTATCTGATAATGTGTATGATTATTATAGTTTCAGACTGATGGAAAGATTTAAATGTTCAATGGACCATATTAATTTGTGACTCCTATTCAAAGTCTCACCAAAGTAAATAATAATTATTTGCATATATTAATCTACATTTTCAGAGCATTTTTTAAAGATGGGTGCTGTTCTGCCCACTTGCAGATGGGCAGCTATGAACAGCACCATCTTGAAACTGGCTGAATGCTTCCTCTCAACTACCAAGGGATCCTTTCAAAGCGAAATGAAGGAAGCAAAGAGAGCATGCGAATTTACAGCTTATGAAAGAAAGTGGTTAATATTGTGAAACAAAAGGTTTTTTGAAAATGTTAAGATATTTGAAAATGTTTGAAAACTTGAAATAACTTTTCTTATTTGAAGCTGACCAATTTTTCTTTTAATACTTTTTTTTAATTGCAGATCTAACCATCCTTAAATGAAACATAACATCCATGGGGATGTGGCACATTGTTCTGTTTAATACAAATTTCATTAAAGCATGTTTTTGCTTTCTTGTAAAAGAAATCCTCAAAAATTTACTTTTAGAATTGGATTTTAAGTATGCATCCGTAAGCTCTCTCCAGTCCCCTCCCAAATCCTTTGATCCACTGTGTTGGTGAATTACTGCATGAGTTTCCCCAAACAAATTCTGTTCCTGGCAGAATTCTGGCCTTGTGTTAGAATATGACAGGATAAAATTTGCTGATAAGAGGTAACACATGACTGTCCAGATACTGTAAATGTGGCATTTCGCATTAATGTCATGTTACACCAAGAAGGTCAAGATTAAGATCAAGTAAGAGTTAGGAGAGGATAAACCAGGTTTCCTCATTCAACCTTAAGGTAAATCCTCTAAGACAAAAGTTATTTTTGTGAGTTCTGAGGAAAATAAGTTGATGCAGTGTGACCCTCAGATTACCGTATAATGAGGTAATGCCTACATCTTGTTCTCATAGGCTAGTTTATAAACAGGCCCTATATAACTGCAGGTAGTTACGGGAAAAAAAGATTTCATTAAAAATAAAATTGTGGAAGTAGACTAAAATTTAAACCACAGTCTATTTTCCACTAGACTTTTCTTGTAAAAGCTATATTTTTCTCTCATTTAAAACAGTGGAAAGGCCTGATCTAAAGAATCTGTCACTTCTATTGACCTCAGTGGGCTCTGCATCACGACTTTGGGTAAATGCAGCTCTTTTAATGTCAGTGGCATTATTTTTTTGACTGGCCAATTAGTCCCCTGTGGAGATACAGCAATGTAAATTAGTGGAGGATTGTATGCACAGGGCACAGTGTGATGTCCCTGGTAAAAATAAACAATACAGATAAAAATGTGTGAAAACAGTAAGAAAAAAGTAATATGATCAATAAGCAATAGCCGTGCAAATGAGAGAAACTGTGTGGAACTGTGGTGCAAAAATCATAGGAAAAAAATTGGGTGCCTCAAATAGCATCTTTTTAATTTCCTGCTGTCTGCCTCAACTAGAGAGAAAAGGTGTTAGTTATGGAATAGGAAAAAACATATAGAAGAAAATCCATTTGCAACTTGGATGCTTTGACAATTTTGGATCATGCATGCAAAACATTCAACCATTCTTTTATTAGATGACAGCAAGTGAAGTTCATGCAGTTTCAGACAAAAGATTTCTGAACTAGGTACTTGTTTCCTTCACACAAAATAATAGTTTTAAGCTTTTCAACTGTTAGCCTGAGAAGAGAAGCTGTGTCATTTTAGTTTTCTTTAAATTCTGCTCCTCATGAGAAACTAAACATGCCTTTCATGACTGTCTGAATATAGATGACCTCGTCTACTGTGAGTATGACTGACTGATTTTCCAGAAAGGACATCCTTAGGTATGAAAGAAAAGAGACAAAAATGGTGCACCAAGAAAATGCTGTTCAGAAGTCTGCTGTAAAGTGTTTCTACAAAACTCCATAGGAAAAAGAAGAAAGTGACCCAAAATTTAAACATGCACAGAAGAGCTGAAGGAGAAGGCGGCTTGTACAGCCTTAAAAAAGTTTGCTGAATATTGAGCTGAACTCAACAGTTCATAGGAACAAAGAGAATATACAGAGCATCACATAGTACTAATGGTGGTGGCATGCAGACACCAAAATTGTCAAAATTTGCAACCTGCATAATACCTTTGGTTGAATTGCTCCAACGGTTACCTTCAGAATAATGGGATAAAGTCAACAGATTGACACATGAACCGCCTGCACCAGATCCAAAAACAGTTATTCTTAATGGGTCACCACCAAAGAACCCAATATTTTCACTAGTCCATCGCAAAGCTTGAATTAGATCAAGGAGGCCATAGTTTCCTTTTGCTGCTTGGTCCCCAGTGCTCAAAAATCCTGTGAATGTAAATGAAAAAAGGAAAGATTAGCAAGTGGTCTTCTGAGTAATCCTGTTGCAATCTTCTAAGAAAGATTTCAAAAGTATATGCCATTAAATATCATGCTACTACATAATTTTCCATATTCACTGGACAACAATTTGCAATTTTGCACTCCTCCTGAAACAAATTGTTTAGTATGCACACTTTTGGCCATGATATATTAATGTAGGGAAGATGAAGATACATCCTGGGTAAAATAGTCATGTAAGTCGTAACAGGTCACAACATACTACTCTCAAAGACTTTGTGCTGATTGTACTAAGTTTAAGAATAAAGGTTTAGCAAACAGATATGCTGCAGTCATTTTGTAAGTGATGTGGTCAACTGTGTATTGCGCTTCTGTATTTAGATGCAGCCATGAGGTTTGCACATGCCTGAGAGGTAACGGTTACACTTCCCTGTAGACTGTGTTTGGTTATGTCCTGGCAACACACTATCTTTTCCTTTTTTCTCCCCCCAAAAATGCAGCTTATGTCACAGGACAAGGTGAGTTGAACAATATGAGCAGCTCTCAACTCCCTGAGTTCTGTCCCATAGTCATTAGCCTGAGTTAATTGAATCTACATTAAATGGATAAAGGCAATTTAAGCTGTTTCCATGACCCCTTAACATCAAAAAGATAAGAGCTCAGGGGTAATCTGGAGAGCACAAGAATTGCTCCCTTTTATTCATACTGGAAGAAAAATGGCAGAACATGTCAGGTGCAGGAACAACTGTTATACACTTCGCTCCCAGCAGTACCCTCATACTTAGTATGGCTGCTCCTGTTCTCATTAGAGCCTACTGACTCTGAAAGGTGGATAACAAAAACTTTGAAGAAAGTCTCTGTTGATAAAAGACATTGCTTTGCTTTTGTTGCAGACCCCATTTGTTGATATTTCCAATTTTCTCAGCTTACTAAACAAATGTTTAAATAATACCAGCATTATGAAGTAGCCCAGCACCTCCATTTGCATATCAAATTGATTTAATGCTCACTAAATCGACAGTGTAACTGTTTTTCAGTACTTGCTTTGTAGAGAAATGCAACCATTACAACAACTATTTCCACATTAATTAGATATTAGTGGGTCTTCTAGTCTCGTCAAAGTTCTACCAATTTAACTCTCTTGAGTGCAGACAGTCTACTCAAAAGAAGTTTACAGCAGTTTTTCAGACAAATGACCCTCAAAAGAGTCCTGCTGTTTCTTTATGACAATAAAGGCAGATCTGGAGACATTTCTGAGGAGAAAGGCATGTGTGCGTATACGTACATAAACTAAGAATTTAACAAGGATAGGTGCATGCATGTACCTGTATCCATGTATATAATGAACATGTCATGTGTTCATGACTCTGATCTGACTTCAAATGGCAAGCTTACACTTGGTATTCTGTCGTACGTGTGGACGTTTATACAGACAGACCTTCTTTGCTGTAACCTGCACTGAAAGCTAATTGGCCTCGCTGCCTCCGTAGTTGAGCTATGCTCCGTTTAGGGCGGGCAGCTTTGTTTGTGTAGGTCAATCCTGGGTTTTGTTACCATGGAGAGGGAACAGGGAAGTGGCATAAGGTGCCAGGCCAGCAATTCTCCCACTTCCAGACCTAATGTACCAGGTCTAATGAGCATACTTCATTCACTGTAGCCGTAGTAAATTGTTACTCTGATACTAGACTTTAAAATAACCGCTATTCTACAACTAAAACCTGCCACATTTACTACTTAACTGCATAAAAGAGCAAAGTAGCATCACTGCCATAGAAGAAAATAACACCTTGGTATTCAGGGAAAGCCCAGAAGGGAAGTCATAAATATAATTAATTCATTCTCATTTTACTATCACAGCTCAGTACTCAACTGAGATGAACATGATGTTATTTTACTCCGCTTCACTCTCTCTTGGTTTTTTCTGTGTAGCCAGAGGGGCTGGTGTGCTTGCCTATGTGAAAGGATGGCCCCAGTCTAATCCTTCCTGCACAGAAGCATTCATTCCTGTCTTCATACTCCAGTAAAATGTTGTCCCCCATAAACAGTTTTTTAAGGACGCAGAGAGATGATGTCTTTGAATCTATGACAGCAAATCTAATGAAGGCTTCCTACCCAGTCTCACTGCCTTTGTCAGCCTGCTTGGAGTTGAGGGATGGTACCAGTGACTGTAAGAAAATTAAAATGTAGGAATTGATGGGAACTACAGGATCCTGTGGCTGCACATGCTGGGAGAGCCTTCTCCTTTCTTTGCATAAGTATATGACTGCGGAGAATCAGTGACAAATCATTCATCATATTAAGCACATAAATGACTGCACTGATTTAAGGGATTAGAGGAACGATTGACACTGGCTGTCCTCGAAACATAAGCAAGCAATGAGATGACAGCAGTTACAGCAGTTACCGAAATGTTGCCCTAAACAAGTCCCTCTTTCCTTTTTTCCCTTCCCTGGCTTGCAGATTCCCTGAGCCTGGACAGGATCTGCTCTCAGCAGAGCTGCAACGTTGGTTCTGTAGATTTCTCAAAGTGAGTCCAAGGCATTTATTAGGAAAATAGGTGGCAGGGTTATAGCTGAGATACAGTGATTGCCCTGAAGGAAAACAAATGCTAACACTCAAACTTTCTGAAAAAGTTATTTTCTGTACTCTGTATAGTATGCAGCAAAGTAGGAAGCGTAAGTCTTTGCCTGGGAAAGCAACAGGTTAAAATTATAGGTAAAGCCTTAGGGCAATCCCCTGCTGTTAAATAAGTTCACATCAAGCTTGATGAGGAAATGGGAGATCCTTGGGGAACTATAAATTTACTATTTTTAAAGAATCTTGGTGAAAAGGATCTTAAAAAGAGAGCAAAAGAAGAAATGTCTCCTATCACTAAAAGTAGACATCAGGAGCCTTGCATTCAGTTCAGGACATGTGCCAGAAGGGGGAGCTTTCAGTTTATTTAAAAAAATAAAAAAATAAAAAAAAAAAAAGGAAAAGAAAAGAAAAGAAAAGGAAGTATTAGTAATATTCTCCTCATTCATCTATATTAGACAAATTATGACTTGTGTCCAGAGCAACAGCTCCGATGCAGAAGAAGTATCTCACACCTCCTCTGCAAGAACCACATTGGCTGACTTCCATATCTACACAAGATGGATGATTATTGATGTTGACTTTCATGACATGAAACATTTCTATCTCATTTTTCAGAACCATAAGAAGCCTGTTAATATCACCACCTGTTCATGCTTTTTTTCGTGCATGCGGTAGTATCAGCATGGCTTAGAAGCATTCAGGATGTCATGAAATCAGAGATAGGACTGATAAAACAGATGAGGTTTTTCTTTCCAGTTTGTGGTTTGTTTGTTTTTTTTCTTTTTCTAGTGAGAAGCACCTCAACACAGATAAACTCATCTAACTAAACACCTGTAGAGAAATGCTTTAACACACAGCATCATACCCAGTTTGTAGGTCTGTGGGTGCAAGCACTTATTCCTATTTATCACTTAAATAAAATAGAGATTGCAACAATATGTTTTGTCTTTATCCCAAGAGGAGTTTTCAGTACGTAATTAATATAGATACCATGCATTTCTATGCATTTCTGTGACAAGATCATTACATTATCTAGATATTAAGCTAGCAATTTTGAGTCACAGAGGAGAACCTGCTCTTGCTAGAAAGGGCTTGTGTGTCTGAAAGCTTGTCTGTTTTTAAACTGAATCAGCTAGCCTATTAAAATATATTATCCCTTCCTGCAAACACCGTCTCATTATTATCCTTGGATTGTCATCTCACCAAGAACACTGTCATACCCTACCACCTTCCGCTCTTGTAAGAAAAGTGAAGTAACTTATTTCTTACTTTAGTCATTCCAGGAAGGCATTCGCAAAAAAAACCCTTATTTTTGCATTATTCTCTAAAAAGGTCAGATTGAGCTAATTTTGTTCCATAATTAAGTCCTTCTACTGGAAATATTCCAATCATCAGCTGAACAATTGCTATTTTATATTCTGAATGGAGAGGTTATCTCTTCTTTTATCTCCTCCAAAGGAGCAGACTCTAATAGAATTATGGAAGTGAGGATATGGTCTTTTGTGAGTTTAAGAAAGAGATTTATTAAGCTCATTTGGACCATTTCTCTGTTACATGTCCGTTAGACAAATAGGCAGAGTGTGCCACAACCAGGCCCTGTATTTTGTGTTAAGATAAATTTTAATGCTTTATAGGATTATCTGCCTGGGTAATGATGTATGCTTGCCATTCAGATAAATCTTTTTTTAATATGATTCCAGAATTTTTGAAGAGTAAATAAAATAATAGAGTTGGGGAACTTAAAATATTTTGTTGCAAATCTTAGTAGATTGAATTATTTTAAGCTCTGGCCTAAGTTGAACGTTCAAATTAATGCAGAGGGGAAAGCCAAGACAGAATTTTTCCTAATGAAAGGGACTGCTACAACCCGATGATGGGTAAAAGACTAGGTGCAGGCTGGTGGGTACGAAAGTGCCATTTCACATCACAGAGAACCAAACCTTCCCTCTGGTGAGCTCTGTCCATATAAGTGTTTCATAACCCAGCAGCCTTCGTGGCTGGATGCAAGTAAGGGGCAGAATGTCTTGTTGGACAAAAAAAAAAATAAATATCTGCCTGCGAGAAAATACACAGCAACAAATGCTACTCTAAAAATAAAGCACAAGAGCTTACAAAAACTGGTCTGACGTGCTTAAAGGGTTTTTTCAAAGAGCTGTGTTACTGAAAGCAGTAACACTTAGGACTTTAATATTACCCACCTGTTTAGGCATGTGTTATAATAATTTACCTATGTTTCCAATTACAATTTCCTATGCAGTCAAATCTCATCTTTTATTTTATTAAAATCAAATGTTAAAATGTACAAGTATAAATGCATCAATGCATAGTGGAAGAATACAGGACGTATTTTGAGGGAAGAATTTATATTCCCTCTGGATTGCAAGTTCCTTGGTTAGGACTTTAGTTTGACA